TAGTGATAAAATATATTTTCAAATGTAAAAGTGCATTTGCATTGGTTTTTTTTTCTTTGTATTAATAAGTGCAAATGACGTAAGATTTTAAGTACATAGGAAGCAGTTAATTGTAGAAAAGTGGTTGTGAGGTTGTGGCTTGATTTTTGCATCATTTGAAAAGAGGTGTTCGGATCAACACCAACTTGCCTATATTTCAGATAACAAATAAAGCTATTGTACCCAAGGTTGATCTATAAAGGGGTTGCCAAAGCTTTATGAAAAAAATTGTCTAATGTTGTTTATCTATATTCAGAAATAAGTGGGAGTTTGAGGTCCAACAATATTTGATTCTCCAATAGTATGTGAATATGTGGTTAAAGAGCCAATCAGCAAATTGTGGCATGGTTTCCCATTTTTTTTTTGATAGGAAACAAGACAATATTATAAAAACTAATAAAAAGAGTACATGATAGGACAAGAAGTCCTCAAGAGATTATATAGTCAAAGAAGAAAAAAGGAGGGAAAAATTGGTTGAAAATAAAGATGGTTTTCAACCAAGTGCCATAGTTTCTCACTTGGTGAATCGTTTGGGGCACATTATCTCTACATATTGTGTGATGAGGACAAAAATGCATCTATGTTTTATACATATGTTCCTCAGGTTACCAGGAAAATGTTGAGAAGGATATAAATTGAATTCACGAGTCCTTTAATTTTTATTTTTTATTTTTTAGGTTACACATAATTTAGGCTAACATTTTTGGGATTGTAAGCAACCTGGAGCAGTAAATTTGATATGCCATTTATTTTTTTTTGTTGAACACTAGCCAAATGAAGGTTTGATCAAGCTAGGTGGGGTCATGTTACGCATGTCATTTGCTTCTAATTTTTATTATTTTTTTTTATATCAGGCACATGCATGGTAGTCCTTGGTGGGACTCCAATTGGCACTTAAGCTCATTTGATTATAACTTTTTTGATTGGAAATAGGAAAGCTTTATTAATATAAAAATGATATAAACAATAAATAAAAGAAAATATTGATGGACTTAGGACTAGGGCTCCAATTGGCACTTAAGCTCATCTGATTATAGCTTGTTTGATTGGAAATAAGAAAACTTTATTAATAAAAAAATGATATAAACGACACATAAAAGAAAATATGGATGAATAAGATGTCCATCTATGAAAAGGAAAAGACAAATCTTAGCTCATAAAACTATGCATCACATGAGGCCCTCCATTCTGCCAAGATACAAAAAAAGGGATGCCATTAAACTCCTTGAAAACAAAAGGCTACAACAATGCCAAAAAATAAATACAATCCCATAAATCTTCCTTTCACTCTCTTTTATCCTCAAATATTTTTGAATTCATTTTTATTCATATTACCCATTCAGTGGCTAACATTGCACAATGCCCTAGAATCACCCATTTCTTATGCTTTCCTAGTCCCTTGAACTCCTCCACTAAGATAGAGGAAAATGAATCACCTAACTCAAACCAACTAATTGAAACAATTTGGTCTACCAAAATAAAGTTGTAGGGCAATGCAAAAACTAATGATCAATAGTCTATCACATGTACACATGAAGCACCACTGTGGAGAAATGCAAAGAAACAATTTTCTTCTCTAAAGTACATCATTGACATTTATCCTACCATGAGTTATCGTCCATGTACAAACCTGCATCTTTATGGGTACCTTAGCCTTCCAAATTATCACCGAGGGAGAAAACACATTGTGTGAAGGATCATCAACCAGTTTATGAAAAAATGATTTGCATGAGAATATGCCCGAAGATTTAAGAATCCACTTTTTTTTATTGCTTAATTCATGACACAACCTGAACTCATTTATCAAGAATAGAAGTGACACCACCTCCGTAAAATCTCTATCGTCAAGATTTCTATGGAATCTAAACTGATTGACTAAAGTATTGATACACTAATGCAATAAAAGACCCATGCGATGAGATAAATGATAAAGATGTGGCAACATACATGAAAAAGAAGATGTCCCAACCCAAGCATCCTCCCAAAAACAAATTCTCTCCCTATAATCTCAAATTTGCTCTGTTATCTTGACGTTTAAAATTCAAATTAGTACTTGTAACAACCAAATCTGTCTTAACTCCATTTATTTGCTGAGCAACCGAAGGCACAAAATTTGAGATTAACTTTCCAATCATGTTGGATTTACTACAATCAGTTTTTGGTGCGCCAAAGCCAGCTCCCTCTTTTCCTTTTAACACACCACGTGTCCCTTTTTTAGAATCCTATCATCTTCAACCTTTCATTGGTTGCATTGAATATCCATGCTGCCTTTCTACCGACACTTAGCAAACAGAGTTCCTAGCCTCGATATCAATTTGATTCTGATGATAAACACTTCCCCTAAAAATTCCTCTCTAAGGGAAGTTGGAATAAAACCACACTCAATTCTTCCAACTTTGATTTTTCTTGAAATTGATTAGACATAGCTAGGGTATCTCTATGGGTCTCGATATACCTTTCGCAGTACCCACCTATCTTGAGAACACCCTTTTATCCTAACAATTTCTGCGTCCCTTCATTTAGTGTTGGCACCCACTTTGTCAATCTCACCATCCTACTTCCTTCCAACAACATACTTCACATACCTCCTGTAGGATAAATTTGTAAAATAAAAATAGGGGCTGTTTTGGGGTTGGAACGGTACCTATGAACAGTAATTGTGCTATGACCAAGGATCAAAATGTCGTGTCGACACGTCGGACGTTTCGGAATTTCAACACTCCGAAACGAAACAGTAGTTGAATCACAAAATTCCAGTGTTTCGGTCGAAACGGTACTGTTTCGGACCGTTTCGGTCGAAACGGCATTGTTTCGAACCGTTTCGACAAAACAGTGATATATTCGGTTCATTATGAATAATTATATTTAATACCCCATTATAATTACATTTAATACCCACTGTAATTACATTTAATACTCACTATAATTATATTTAATATCCCACTATAATTACATTTAATTCCCACTGCTCTTCTGTCTTTTATAATTTTTTTGTTATAAGAATAAATAATTACACTTAATACCCTACTATAATTATATTTAATACCCATTATAATTATATTTAATACATACTGTAATTATATTTAATACCTCACTGCTGTGCAAGTTTTTTTTTTTTTTTTTTTGTTATAAGTATTAACAATTACATTTAATACCCTAATGTAATTATATTTAATACCTACTGTAATTACATTTAATACCCACTGCAATTACATTTAATTTTTAAGTATACATAAGTATCATTAATTTAATTTGATACCCTTCATTATTAGTATTATAATAAAATAGTATTATTAATTGGATTATATTACCGTAATAATATGATTTGGAGTAACTATTGTCATCATATTTATGTCACATATGGAGTTTCTCTAAGTAGCTACCCAGAGCCTACACCGATGTATGAGCCTGCTCGACACTCCACAGGGGAATGGATGTAACCATGTAAGTATGTACTCATTAGCATTTCATGTGTATTATAAGACCTTAATATTATGTAAAAATGTGTTTATTTCATAAAAATTAAGTGTTTGAAACTAATTTAAGTGACTTTCGCCTCAAGTCAAGCCTTTTTTTCCCTCAAATTTAAATTTATTCTTGTATAAATTGATGTTAACCTAATAAATATGTTGAATTAATAAATTATTTAGCATATCTTTATAAATTAATGGATTGCATTTGTGTTTCTATGCGTTTCCATATTTTTTCTGCGTTTCCATTGCGTTTCCGAAATGTTTCCGAAACGTTTCTATTTTTGAGTTGACCGAAACGGTACTTCGAAACGAAATTTTGATCCTTGGCTATGACCAGTATGTGAATAGTAACTTTGACTAGGAATCACCTCTAGGGTTCTTTAGGCATCACACCTAGGGCTTGCTTGGATGGATTTTTGGGAAGAGTTTGCATTGGCTTCCCCAAATCATTTTGAACTCAAATCCTTTTTTACAAAGGTGAGATTCAACATTGAATTCAGTCCATACCCATGTTTGGCATGCAACACATATACTTGTAGAACCCATAGATATATCATAATTATTAATAACCATTTGTCTTGTAATTGACTATTTTGCCCCTTAATCAATCCAATTCATACCCATGTTAAGAGGTACAATTGTCTTTTGCGTCCTTAACCCATCTTCTCAAACCCACTCTCCTAGGTTTGACGAAACCCATAATCATGAGTTTATTATTCGGGTCAGTTGGAGGCTGGGTTTAGAAACCTAGGATTGAATTTTTAATCCAAACATAGAGTTTGAGGTTCCTTTGGACTATTTTCCCCAAATCTATCTTGCCAACCCCCCTATATCCCCTTACCAAACATCCCCTAGGGGTGTGAATTGCATCACACAACTCAAGAAGTATATACTTACTGAAATTTTTGAAATATCACTCCCTCCTTTATTAAAAATATCACCAACTATATATAGAGTTCTAAGGATTCCTAATTAAAGATTAGGATTTCAAAGACTTTAAAACCTCTAAATCACTAAAAATTATAAGGTTAAAATAAACTAGAAGTAGGACTCTAAATTCTAGCATATGCCATGCTAGAGTTTGACCCAAAATACGATTCACGGATTGGATTATGACCCATTCCTAAAATTCTTTAAATTACAAAAAATACCCTTGAGTCTAAAAACTATTAAAAGTACATATAAAATACTAATACTAGCAAATTGATTCAAACTAACTTACAATAAGACTCAAAATACAATAATGCAAGGTTCCATATGGATCTTTGTCTTGATGTCAAGCCAATTCTATTATTTTCCACATCCTTGCATTTGTGTTTTCTTGAGCATCTCATGGATTGCATCACTTCCTCAACTTGTGTATCGTTTGCACACATGAAGACAGCTTTGTCCACCTGAAATGGTTCCAAATGAATTCTAAACTCGAACTTATTAAATAGAGCAATCTGAATCAATCTCCATGAGTTGAAAATACTGTCTTTTACATACTACTGCACTATTCCATTTACCAAAAACAGAGCGATCCACCCTTGGGTTTAAGTCATGCCTAGTTCCACTGATTTTGAGAATTTTCCCATCTCTCCTATTTCCAGTCAGTGTTCCCTTGTCCCAATTTCCATTCATCAGACTACTCACATCCTTTTTCACCACACCTGTCCATCTCCTGGAACCTCCCCCATGTACAACCTTACTCAAAATTCTAATCAATTCTTTCCATCTATTTTGATCAATTCCTTGTGGAATCACAATGAATCTTCTGTTGCTCACGCCTTGAACAATGGAAATGGTTAAAATCACTCCCCTGTTGTTTCTCCCCAATTCTTCCCACATCTTATATTTGTTGGACTGAACTGCCTGTAGAAGAATTTGTACTCCATTTGGTTTACAGCTTCTGCAATCACCTTTCACAGCCATGTCAAGCCAGTGACATCTACTAAAATTGAGTAATTTGCATACCTGCTTCGCTTGGTAATCCTGAAGGCTAGGTTACTGTAATTGTCATCCACTAATTTTATTATCAATCCTAACTTCACCACCACCTCGATGATCCATATTGAAAAGATTCTTATTTTTGATTAAAGATCATTGTGGAGAGAGAGAGAGAGAGAGAGAGTCGTACATTCAGTGATCCATACTTGATAACACGTGGTTTTTTTTAAACCCTGAAATTGCCAGACTGGTGGCTAACTTAATTGACCATAGGCTCTTGCTTACTGTAATCTAACTCCCTTTCTACTTTCTTCCTCATCTGATTATAACTGATCATGTTCAAAGATGAATGTGCCATTATTTCTCCTGTGATGGTTTTGATTATTGAATTGATTGTCTTTGTCTATGTAGTCAAATTTGTACAGCTGAAACTGTTATCATAATTTCAGCGCCAATCCACAATCTGTTTCAAAAGTTGCATGGACTAGGGTACCTGAATGCGCATTGGGCACTGACAAAATGTTACACAGCCACAGGGAAACCATTTAAACTATAACTTATTTAACCTTCAAGTGTTCAACTGTCATGTCTAGCCTAATTCATGTTTTTTGACATTTATGGGTCAAAGTAACATCTCCAAGCACCGAGTAGATTGATAATCTTGATTTCTTATATTGCACTTTGTTTCTATGGCAATTGTACCTGAGAAGCTCACACTTATACTACTTTAGACTTAGTCTTGGTAACATTGTTCTTGCTTGGTTTTAGGCATATGGGTACTATGTTCTTCATGTAGATTTTTCAAGCTTATTAGATCTTTCAATGTAACCTTCTTTACCTTTTATCAGTGTTTCTATATACAATATACTCAACCCAGCCATTTCCTTTAAACCGGAAATTCAGTAGGTTACGCAGTCAGTTTTCTTTCTTCCCTTTTTCTGTCCGTTATTTTTTTTTGGGCAATAACACGTTTTTATAGACTGGACATATAGTGCGACAGCCCAATGATTCAGCTTGTGTTGAATTTAATCAAAGAATCAGACATCTTGCTCCATCATGTATTTTTGCTTTGTGTTCATTTATGAATCAGATTTTCTTTGCTCATGGTGCATAATTTCAGTTTGAAGGTGCGGTTTTGGATTAAAATTTCATTAACTACTAAGATAATATGCTTGAATTGCAGGCGATGGATCTTAGAGAGAAAGTTAGCTTCTTCAGATGTTCCTAAGGAGGAACAAATAAATCTTATCAAGGATTTAGAGAGGAAGGAGACACAATTTATGCGACTAAAAAGGCACAAGATATGTGTGGATGATTTTGAGCTTCTGACCATCATTGGGAGAGGAGCTTTTGGTGAGGTTAGAAATGTGCATGACATACTTGACTAGCATTATCATGTTGAATATTTACAATTTGATGGGATATGTGTTCGTGGTGAGAAGTAACTAAAGTTAAATCTATGAAGTTTTTTTGATTCATTTTTTAGTTATTTTTACTTACTCATATTGTTGAAGTCTAATTTTTTTTTCAAAGGAATACTAATGACAACTATTTGATATTAGTTATTACAGAAGATACTAGACTTAAAAGTTTCATCTTGTGTCAAAACAAAATTTCCTCCTTCATTACCGAAAAGAAAATGAAAAAAATGCTCATCTCTCTCTTCCTTTGTTCTTTTTTATCTGAAATGTTGCTTAAGAATAGGAATTTGGTAATTGTATGAAAATTTTTCTCTGTTTTAGTTGGGAATAAATATGAGCCTTGTGTATTGACTAGCTCTAAGTTCATCTAATTTGATTTAATTGATGTCTGGATTAGCCATTTGCTTTTGCTTTCCACCTAAGATGCACAGATGTGAACATGAGACACGAATGCGACATGACACAGACACATGGACACGACATTTCTATAAAAAGTAGGACACGAACACGTCGGGGACATGTTATAAATAATTGTGTTTAATATGAAATTACATAATTTATCACAAATATAGATTTAAGAATTCCGCAGTTAATGGCAAGTAAATTTTGCGTTTAGTCATCTAGGATGAATTTTTAAATTAAAGGATCATAGTAGTTGGTAATCACGTATTTTTTTATGGACAATGTGGAGTAGACATACATACTGGCAATAATTGCTCTTATCTTTTCAATTACTCGTCTAAACAAACTTTTAGTAAATGATCATTTAGTAAATTTTTATATTTTTGGTATATTTTAAGTATAACTTTAACATGATTAGTTTTAACAATTTTGTATTCTTTCATAGCAAAAGATAGTCATTTGTAAAATTTTTAAGCTATAGACATAGTCTAAAGAAGTGTCAAACATCTTACCAAAGGAGTATTGGACACGTGTCCGAAATTAATTTTTATTTATATATAAAAAGGTATTGGAGACATGTCGTCAGAGAAGTGTCGGTGTCCGACATGGATATATCATCTCCTTAAGAGTGTCGGTACTTCTTAGCTTTTCACCCTTAAATTAAGGTTGAACGACAAAGCTTTGAGGATAAGAATAATCACCAAAAAAGGACTAATAAATTTTATGTGACGTTAGCATTCATCATGCTTTGAAATTAGCTCCTAATCATTTTTCCTATTAGGATGAATTGGTTTGATACTTAAAAGAAAATGCTCTATGTCAAATGCTATCCACGGTTGATATAGTTTTAGTTTGATGGAACATAAGTCCTGGTAAATGATTGTTTGATGTATTTGGTTGGAGAGGAATGCTAGAGTTTTTTGTGATTAATCTCTTTCTTTAGACTTCGTCAAGGATAAAATTGTGTTCTTGGTTCTTTATGAACCATATCTCTTAGGATTTTCAAAGGGATGCTTATGTTTGATTCCCAAGTGGATTGGAAGGCGCTTCTCTTTAGTTTTCTTTTCTTGTGCATTTTACTTTATTCCAAGGAATTAAATTTCGTTTCGAAATGTTCAAAACATTCTTGTTTTCATGAAAACCAAAAGGACTTAGTGATTGAATACTAAAATCACTATGTTTCGAGCTATATTTTGGAGTGTTTCGAACTATGTTTTGGTTGCTTCGACCAATTTTTCGGAAATAAATTTTTAAATTTTTTTATTTATTTCCATCTTCTTTCGGTTTCCAAGTTTACAGAAACTATGTATCGGAACGAAATTTTGAACTTTGTTTTGTTTTTCTCTTTTTTTAAAGATATATTGTCCTCCATATTGTACCTTTTCCTTCTGTTCTCTCACTTGGTGAAAAATATTTTGAAATTTAAAAAAAAAATATGGAACTCTGTGTAAATGCTAAGGTAGAGGTTTGCATAGAGCCTTTATGACTAATTGAATTGGGGAACAAGGTGTGTACATCCACTATCTTGAATGCGAATTATGGCATATTGTAATCATAAGTGAGAATAGAATTTAGGATAATGTATGGGTTCTTGTGTTGTTGATTGGAAAATGCTCGGAATCCATGAAAAGCTATTTCTGTGGGATGAGTATGTTCCTCTTGGTTTATAAGTTTCTAGTGGGACCTGGAGAAAATATTCATTTTTGGGAAGATAGTTATGAGTGATATTCCTTCTCGATTCTATTTTGTGATTTTACTGGCTATCCAGTTCTCATGAAGCTACTATTGTTTCTGTGGTGTATTCACTCTCTTATCATACCAGTTGGGATTTTTTTCCTTGAGACATCTTATAGGGAGGTGATTGAGTTGTCATTTCCTGATTTATTACTGGATGGGGCCATTTTAAGACAGTTAATCCCCGTAGAAGGTTGTGATCCATTTTATCTTTAGGAGTGATATACCTTCTCGATTCTATTTTGTGATTTTACTAGTTGTCCAGTAAGGATCAAAATTTTGTTTCGATGCATTGTTTCTATCACCTAGAAAACAGAAATATTTTGACGTGTTTCGAAAATTTTTCGATAAGTTTCGAAAATAGAATAAAAAATAAAAAATTTAAGAATTATTTTTTCAAAACACTGATCGAAATATACAAAAATATTTTGAAATACTTTAAAATATTCTAAAATAATTGTGTAAATGCATTGAAATATAAAAAAATATTTCAAAAAATTATGGAACTGGGTTACCTGGATCGTGGGTTGGTTGGGTACATGGTACAGGTATAGATGCAGGGTACGTTACTTTTTTTGGTTCACGGTGCGGTGGGGGTAGGCTTAACCTGTACGCTATTTTGGGTTGCGGTTCGCTTTGAATGATTATCCGGATCATTTTCATTATTATAAAGAATTATATAAATTTATACATTATACATATAATTCGTTGTTACTTGTTTTAAACCTATAATAATTTGTTCACTCTTATTTTATTTATATATGTGTAAAACATTATTTAATTAACATTTATTTTGTATTTGTTGTACGAATTTAAAGGCAAATCAAGATCAACAACAACATATCAACTAATAATCGTGAATAAAAAAGTATGGTTGCATATTTTATTATAAAAAAAAAAAAAAGAAGACAGAATATAGATTTAAAGACTTAAAATTTTAAAAANTTTTTTTAAAGATATATTGTCCTCCATATTGTACCTTTTCCTTCTGTTCTCTCACTTGGTGAAAAATATTTTGAAATTTAAAAAAAAAATATGGAACTCTGTGTAAATGCTAAGGTAGAGGTTTGCATAGAGCCTTTATGACTAATTGAATTGGGGAACAAGGTGTGTACATCCACTATCTTGAATGCGAATTATGGCATATTGTAATCATAAGTGAGAATAGAATTTAGGATAATGTATGGGTTCTTGTGTTGTTGATTGGAAAATGCTCGGAATCCATGAAAAGCTATTTCTGTGGGATGAGTATGTTCCTCTTGGTTTATAAGTTTCTAGTGGGACCTGGAGAAAATATTCATTTTTGGGAAGATAGTTATGAGTGATATTCCTTCTCGATTCTATTTTGTGATTTTACTGGCTATCCAGTTCTCATGAAGCTACTATTGTTTCTGTGGTGTATTCACTCTCTTATCATACCAGTTGGGA